AGGAGGCAGCCGATCAGTGACTCACCTCATTTGCATGCATTGTTCCTCATCATCATGTCATTGCCATCACTCTAAGGATAATTAATAATTCAGACAGCCTGAGTAGAGCCTTCACCAGAGAGCGAGTAATCAAGATCCTCGTGCTGTTTTGTTCTTTTGTGTTTTTGGTTTGTTTGTTGTTTGTGTTTTCTTCCTCCCGTGCCCCTTTGTCATGTTCCACTCCTTTCACTCCCCACCTCAGGAATGGGAGCATTCTCAGTCCCCCCACCTTACCTGTATCTCCCAGTGACCCAGGCCTGGGCCCGTGTGCTCAGTGGTTAGAGGGCCAGCCCACGAATCCAAGGCTGCCATCCCCAGTCAAGGACAGCTACTGGGTTGCAGGTCCCATCCCCGGCCCCAGTGGGGGTACATGTGGGGGGCAACCAAGCAATGTGCCTCTTACGTCGATGCTTCTCTCTCTCTCCCGCCCCCTCCCTCCCTCCCGCTGTCTCTAAAAATTAATGGAAAAAATATCCTTGGGTGCGGATTCGCAAACAGATGGAAGAAAGAAAATGTCCCAGGACTTTATGGGAACAAGGGAATTATTATGCGCCATGACTCAGGGAATGTAGCACAGAAAAAGCTCTGGAGAGAAGTGTTGATTCATAGCACCCTGTCGGCTTACACAGTGCTTTCAATATTCCTTTTCCAGCGGCCCTTTGAAGTCAGTTTTTCTACCCTTTTATAGACTCAGCAACATATGTTTACCAATTCATAGCCGACTACAAAACATTTCATAAAAGCCCCAGCTGGTTTGGCTCAGCGGATAGAGCGTCCTCCTGCAGACTGAAGGGCCCCGTCAAGGGCACACGCCCGAGTTGCAGGCCCGATCCCCAGTGGGGACGTGCAGGAGGCAGCGGATCCATGTTTCTCTCTCGTCATGTTTCTCTCTCTCCTCCTTCTCTAAAATCAATAAAAATATTTTTTTAAAAACAACAAAAGGGAGATGCACAGGCAGTGAGCAGTGTCTGGTGACACACGTGCCCACGTGAGAGCCTGTCCCCTCCGGCGGAGCCCCTCCTCCGGGCCAGGCCAGCCCACCTGTCGTCTGCATGCCTCGCCCGCCCGGGGCATTCTCAGGGGGGTCCCCGCTGGCACCACATGCACACGCGGTCAGATCTGGGCTTTTTCTCCTCCCTGCTTCCTTCCTGTCCGGACTAACGCATGTTAAAATGAAATCCCCCTCCACCATATGCCCACTTCCCCAGCCACCACCCTCACCTTCTCCCCTTTATTACTAAAATGTTTGAAAACAGCAGTCTAGCCGAAACCAGTTTGGCTCAGTGGTAGAGCGTCGGTCTGCAGACTGAAAGATCCCAGGTTCGATTCCAGTCAAGGGCATGTATGTACCTTGGTTGCGGGCACATCCCCGGTAGGGGGTGTGCAAGAGGCAGCTGGTCGATGTTTCTTTCTCATCGACATTTCTCTCTCTCCCTCTCCCTTCCTCTCTGTAAAAAAATCAATAAAATATATTAGGGGGGGAAAAAAAGAAAACAAAACAAAACAGCGCTCTTTGTTCCCAGTCTCACGTCCCATAGTTATCTGCCTTCCACCCCCACCTTCCCACTGTCCTGGTCGCTTCTCCTCTGTCTTTGTCTCACCTGCCCTCCCTGCCACATTCCAGGCTGCTGAGCTAATCCGCTTCGCAGGCTTTGCCCCTGGTTTGGTTGCCATGGTAACATGGACTCCTCCGCTTCTCTCTCCTGTGACGGGTCTCCTGTGCTGCCTCTTCCACTCGAGCACCTTAGGGTGTTTCAGATGCAGCCCTCCTTCCTCCCTGCTCTGCTCACACCTCCCTGAGTGGCCTGTCCGTGCCCAGGGCCTCCATCCACAGGCACGTGCTGAGGGTGTCTGCGGCCCCGCCCGCTGAGCACCAGGTCTCTGTATCCCAACCAGCAAGTTCCCCAGACGGGGCTGTGGGTGCCCCCGCTGACACCGCCAGCAGAATGCAGGGAGGAGACCTTTCCCGTTGAATGGTACCAGTTCCCCCAGTTCCTCCAGCCAGCAGTGCCTCTGGGTGTGAGATCCATTTGTCCTCCGTGCTGTCCACTTGCATGGATCTGATTTATCCTTGGAGCCTTAAAATATTTGGCCTTGCCTCCTTTCCCACAGGCTTGTTTTCTCAGGAATTTATATCTTCCATAAAAGAGGTTAAGGACGAAGCAGAGTCTGTACTTGTAAATGTGGCCATTATTTCTCCCCGGAGGACAGATGTAAGTGGCCTTAGAACTGCATAGGTCCTCGGTGATAACAACTCCCACCGTTTACTGTGGAGATCCTCCGTAAGCCAGGCGCTGCTCCAGACCCCGGGATAGTCCTTCACTTGGTTTTCTGAAATCCCCACAGGCGTGGGTACTGTTCCCGGTGGGGACTGTGTGCCGGGGGACAGCGCCACGCAGCAGAGGCACAATTGAACCCAAACGACTGGCGCCGGACACAAGCTCTTGACAACTCTGGCAATCGTGTCTGGCAGAACAGCTTGCGTTCCTCATAGCAGTGTTTTTTCTTTATCACCATTTCTAAAACGTTAAAAATACGCAACAGACTGACCAATCTCAGGAGAAGGGCAACCATGCGCCCCAGAAGAGATTGACCAAAGAACTTACATGCATAGACTGTATGCATAACCCATGGACACAGACAATAGTGTGGTGAAGGCCTGGGAGGGGGTGAGGATGAGGTGAAGGGGGTCAATTGGGGAAAAAAGGGGGGGGGGAACATCTGGAATACTTTCAACAGTAAAAATATATTTAAAAAATAATTCAAATTACCAAGACATGGTATAACTTTAAATATATGCCTCACGCCCTGACCATTTGGCTCAGCGGATAGAGCGTTGGCCTATGGACTGAAGGGTCCCAGGTTTGATTCTAGTCAAGGGCATGTACCTTGGTTGCAGGCACATCGCCAGTAGGGGTTGTGCAAGAGGCAGCTGATTGGTATTTCTCTTTCATCGATGTTTCTAATACTCTCTATCCCTCTCCCTTCCTCTCTGTAAAAAAAAAAAAAAAAATCAGTAAAACATATCTAAAAAATAAATATATGCCTCACGTATACATATGCAAGTTATTCTTACACTAAGTAATGCAGTTTGCTAATACAATAACTAAGGTGTCACAAAAAATAGATACATAATTTTTATTCTATTTTATATTATTCTTATTTTCTAAAGACCTTTAAATTTTCCTTTGCTCCTTTGAAGCATAAACAATAACATAGCAACATTTTGCTGCTTTTAATTCCTCTGCTTACGTACGTCACAACCCGAATCTTTGTCATTTTTATCTTAGAAATACTTAGCTTTCCATAATATCAACACAAATCATCTTCTGTCGCTTTGTTTCTTGAAAGTGGTTAAGCAACCGTATAAAACTCATAGGAAATTGATGACTCATGTAACGGAAAGCATTTACTAATGTGACTTTTGTCTCAGTTGCCAAGAAGTCTGAGTTTGTTTCCATGGTAACCCATCAGTATGACAAATTGTCAAGCACTAACTGCCACTTTTTTTTTGTTTGTGTATGTACTTTGGACAGCCTTCTAATAGCTGTGTGTGTGTGTGTGTGTGTGTGTGTGTGTTTAAAGATTTTTATTTCCTTAGACACAGAAAAATGTATTTATTTAGAGATACTGTTTAATTCTCTGAAGCTATTATTTTGATATTACAAAATCTGGAAGATTATTTAAATTAACATGCCTATTTCTACTTGAGTTCCTTTGTTGCTATCATCAACAAAATCCACTTACAGGATTGGTTCATTTGAAATACATGGTATGTGATTACAAAAGACTCTGCCACAAGCAGGCAGGGAAAAGGAAACGAGGAATTTGGACTTAGGGAATGAGGGGGAAGCCACTTCAGCCGGTTTGTGCCAGCCCTCCTGGGTGGCCAGTGTTCTAGGCTGGAGAGTGGCAGACACAGGAATTCAAGGATCGAGCAGCCCAGGCCATCGGTCACACCGGACACTGGGCCTTCACCTGCAGCCAATTTGGGAAAGACTCTTAGAGGAGGTGATGACTAAACTGAAGGAGTGAAAGCAAAACTGGTGGCCCTAGCCCGTCTGGCTCAATGGATAGAGTGTCGGCCTTCTGTCCGAAGGGTCCTGGGTTCAGTTCCGGTCAAGGGACTGTACCAAGGTTGGTCAGGGTGCATGCAGGAGGCAACCGATGGATGTGTTTCTCTCACATCGATGTTTCTCTGTCTTTCCCATTCTCTCTTCCACTCTCCCTGGAAATCTGTGGGAAAATATCCTCAGTGAGGATTTAAAAAAAAAAAAAAAAAAAAAGCTAAACTGATAAATAAGGGAAGTGGAACGGGAAAGAAAACATTACAAACAAAGGTATACCAATGAGAAATAGTGTGACAGAAATGATCTGTTGGGGACTGAATGGCCAGCAGTATGAGACAGAAAGAGTGGAGAGACAAGACTAAAGATGGGCAGGGGCGTGGATCGGATCCTCTCAGATGTGGGGAAGCAGTGAAGGGTTTTAGACAGAGGAAGGCATTGTCCGGTGGCAGCGAGGAAGGTAGGTTTGAGCGAGGACCAAGTAGGAGGCTGTTGCCACGTGTCTGCTGAGGGACTGACAGGCTCAGGTGGTGGCCAGACACAGGAAAGGGGTTCACTCAGGAACAGCTATGAAGTAGCAGAGACAGACTTTGTAGCAGGGCCTGGGCCTCAGTGGCCGGGCGTGACACTGGTCCGTTGTGTGTGGAATGAATGAACAGCGAAGCTCCAACTCAGAGACGGAATCGATAAGTGAACTCACCCTTCCCCAGTGCCTGTGAATAACTAAAACCTTCAAACATGTTTCGGGTCCCACTGTTAGGAATGTGTTTGCTTCCAAAAACTGGCATTTAACGTAGCGCTTTTGCATTGCAGACCCGGGTGGCGGAGTGTGTGCGCGCCTTTTTGTCATACCATGGATCACAGTTCATTCACTGGCTCTTTTTTCCCCCTCAGGGAGGTGGTGCAAGCGAACTGTGTTCACTGGAGGAAGAAGTTCTCCTTTATGTGCAAAATGAGCGCCAGCGCGGCCACGGGCATCCTGGATCCCTGCATCTACAGGGTGTCTGTGCGCAAGGTACAAAAATAGCCACCTGTCTCCCCTTTCAGAGCCAAAATTAGCCCCCTCCCTGCCGACGCACTTTATTTAGCTCTGCTTTGTCCTTAGCGCTGTGGCATGCCATTTCCCTTCACACTCGCAGCAGAAGTTCAAATCACCGTGACAACCAGGGTGAGGAATCTGAAGTTAGCCTTTTATATACAGATTAGAGGCCTGACGCACGAAATTCATGCAGGAGCAGGCCTTCCTTCCCCCGGCTGCTGGCATGGGCTTCCCTCTGGCATCCAGGACTCGGGCTTCCCTCGCAGCCTCGGCTTCATCCGGGAGGTTGTCCGGAAGGACGACCCGTCTAATTAGCATATTACACTTCTATTATTATAGATTATATATACTGGTATAGCTATTTGACAGTGTGTACATGTCTACCTCAGAATTATTTGACATATATTTCATTTTAAGTCTTTGATTATGTGACACTTAATCGTGTTTTCTGTGTTTGGCAGGAATTAAAAGGTGGAAAAGCTTATGCAAAGGTGAGTGAATGGTCTTGAACTCTTTTGGAGGGCGTCATTTATAAACTTAAGCATTCACTAGAGTGCTCTTCTCATTGCCGCTCACATGGGCTGTTTTCAAACAAAGCAGCTTGGAGGTTGAACTGTTGGCTTCAGCAGTACAACATGGGCACATTCTTTCTAAATGCTGATGGTGGGGTGTTCTTAGGTTTCAGTGTCAGTTCTGGACTGGAAGGTGATTTCTGGTTTTCATGAAGTAATACTCTCCCCGGGAACTAGTCCCAGTCCCCCTCCCGCCCCCCCCTCCCCCATCCTCATCTCCCCCCTTACCCCCCACCCCACCACTATAGAGTAGGACCCTCCCTGTGTCCTCTTACCCTCTGATAGACATGATCTCTGCCGTCCTTTATTCTTTGTTGCCTGTATGGAATCACTGAAGAATGTGGTCACCTTTTTGCTGACTAGAAGGAAGTGGTGCCAGAAATCCACATACTCTTACTTCCAGTCTCTGTGATGGTATCTCCATCAGTCAGTCAGTGATCTGAGCCAAGAACTGGGCACTAGGCCCAGCCAGCACATCTACCTAAACTCCCTAAAACTAGTGGGTTGCAATGTCAGTCAGGATGCTCTTTCCTACAAATAACAGAAAAGCCTCCTCGCCTAGAGATGGCCAAGGACCAAGGGGCCAGAGAGAGTCAGCGTGGACATTTTCAAGGAGCTTTGCAATAACAGGGGAGCAGAAAAACAGCTCAATAGACAGAAGGAGACGCGGGATGAGGTGTGGGCTACTTTTGTTCATTAAGGCAGAGAAGATCCAGCGTGTTTGTGTGCTGGTGGTGATGATCCAGTAGAAAGGCAGAGTGCAAGACAGGGCCGAGTTCCGGAGCCGTGAACTTGAGTCTGAGCACAGTCAGCTCCCTTCCCTTAAGTGGGAAAGCAGACATGCGGGCACAGATGCAGGCAGGTGAGTGGATGTGGCTGGAGATAAGAGCTTATGAAAGTTAAGTGCTCTTTTTTTTATATATATATATAATGTATTTTTTATTAAGTTCAGAGAGGAGGGAGAGAAAGAGAAACATCGGTGATGAGAATCATTGATTGGCTGCCTCCTACTGGGGATCAAGCCCACAACCTGAGCATGTGTCCTTGACCGGAATTGAGCCTAGGACCCTTCTGTCTGCAGGCTGATGCTCTCTCTATTCCTGAGCAAAACTGGCTAGGGCAAGTCAAGTGCTCTTTTGATTGCTCTCCTCTTCTTGAGTGAAGTAAGATGAAAGGCATTTGCACCGAGTACAGATGTGCAGGAGGTGTTGGAGGTTCAGAGAGAAAGGTAAGGTCTGAAATAGGGCGTGTGGGTGATTGTGATCAGACAGCCCTAGGGGTCCCCAGATGTTCCCTTGGATGTGGCTTCTCTCTCTCATTGGTGTTTCTATTTTCTCCCTCTCTCTCCCTTCCTCTCTGAAATCAATAAAAAATTTTAAAAAGTCAACCAATGAATGCATCAATTAAGTAGAACAACAAATCAATAATCTTCCCCTCTCTCTCAAAAGTCAATTTTTTTTAAATTTTAATTACAAAAAACACACGATATAATGGGGTTAGCTTGTAGCACTTGGAAACAAAAAATAGGGTTGAGCGTGCCAGAGGAAAGACTGGAGGGCAAGCTGGTATCTGCAGAAAACAGGGAGCAGGCCTGGGTGGTGATAAGGAGAAGGACTAGGTTTGAGCTGTACTTCTGGAGGCAGCAAGAGCATCGGTGTGGGGCTCAGCTATGGGAAGGGAGGAAGTAGGGTTTTTAAAGGAAGATTCAGCTCAAGAGTGATCAGCAAGGCAAGATTATGGAAGGTGCTGGAGGAGAAGGGGCTTGTGCCAAGAAAAGTGAGTGGCACCCGCATCTTTCTCGTTCCCGTGTGGAGAGCGTGACTGTAATAACCTATCGCTGCCTGCAACCCCCAGACGCTAACTGGGAGCTGAGCCAGCAGCCGGGGACAGGGAGGAGGAAGTCCGGTCAGTGTTCGAATGTGTATGCAGATGGTCGTGGGTCCGCTAGCATTTCCCTTAGTGCAAGTACTTCTGCTCACAGTGATTTTAGTTGCTTAATATGCATCCTTTCTTTTTATTTCAACAGTTACATAGTTTATACTTAGCAAATAAAATATATTTAGCATATCAAATCTGTGATTTCATTGCTTGAGATTGCATTGCTTAAGATAAGAGAACAGCCCTGGCTGGTGTGGCTCAGTTGGTTAAGCACCAAAAGATTGTTGGTTCCATTCCCAGTCAGGGGTCAGGGCACCTGCCTGGGTTGCAGCCAACCTACGTTTCACTTTCACATCGATATTTCTCGCTCACGCACTCTCCCTCTTCCTTTCTGAAAATCAATAACAAATCTTTAAAAAAAAAAAAAACAAAAAAAAAACAGTAGGTAATACATTTTTTTACCAAAAGAGCCAATTTAAAGACATATTAAACAAATAATGCAACCGGTATTGTTAAGATGGCAAACATTGCAATTAACTGAAGTTTGAAATAACTGTGTAGAGCATGGGTTGAATGTTTATTTTAAGGAGAGCGTGATGGAAGCTTAATCAATATTCTATTCACATACTTTTTCTCCTTTTCCTAGCTGGGCTTTGCAGATCTAAACCTGGCAGAGTTTGCTGGCTCGGGAAATACCACTCGCCGCTGTTTACTGGAAGGCTACAACACCAAAAACACAAGACAGGATAACTCCATCCTCAAAGTAAGCAGGGTCACGATGTACATGTCAACTCAGGAGGTCCTCTGCCTTCAAATAAATGGGGGACATACTGTCCAGGGCGAGGAGGGACTCAACCCTGAAATCGCAAGCTGAGCACACCCCACAGTACTCAGCAGTGTCCCCCCCACCCCACTACCCCCCCACCCCATCCCCCTTAGGAAGCGGCACTGCAATACTGGACGCAATCCAGCTCGGTGGTCATTCTGTCCCGTCCTTCCTGACCTGTTATAACCAGTCTTCCTCTTGCTCACGTGTAGGTTTTCATCAGTATGCAGCTGATGTCCGGTGACCCATGTTTTAAAACGTAAGTCGATGCTCAGTCAATCCATTATTTCTCTGACAGTATCATAGTCATTTATTGGTTTCAGGTTTCCCATTCATGTTTCATAGTGTTTATAGGCAACCCCAGGGAAGGGCCAGTCTCTCTCCTGTGGCTGACCTGACCCTCGTGGGAGTTACCATGACCTATCACCCAACGAGCTCTCCACACCCTGAAGTGTTTCAGCTCCTGTCCTCTTCAGGTTTGGGGTGAAATGATATAATGAGGCCCTCTGTGGGCTCCGTCATGGCTTCAGCAAATACCCAGCAGGTCCCTCACCATGGACGAGGCCCTGTTCTGGACGTGACCAGTAGCAGGCAGAAACAGACCAGGTCCCGCCATCTCGGAGCTCATCTTCTGAAACAGCAGTCTCTCAAGTAAATACATGATGTACAGATGGCAGGGGGTGCCTTGGAGAAAACCAAAGTGGGGGACCCCAGCAGGAGGGGGTTCTCTTTTCCATGGAGCAGGCAGGGATGTCCTCCCTGGTAAACATGAAGCGTGAGGCAGAGAACATGGTGCAGGTGCAGATGTCGGAGAAGTGGAAGCATGTGGGAGTTATTTTCAAACTGCTCCTGGTTTCCATGGTTCGAGTCCCATCAGGGCACATGCCCAGGTTGCAGGCTCGATCCCTGCTGTGGGGTGTGCAGGAGGCAGCCAGTCAGTGATTCTCTCTCATCATTGATGTTTCTCTCACTCCCTCTCCCTTCCTCTCTGAAATCAATACATATACATATATACTTTTTTTTAATTGCTCCTGGTTTCTTAGTGAACAAGGAAGCCAGGTGATCCCTGGGGAGTGAGTACATGAAATGCAGAGCTGGGGGTTTGGGGAAAGAGGAAAAGGCGTGTAAAAGGCTGTCAGAGCGAGGGCGAGCGAACCAACTGGGAGGAAGTGGGGATTGCCTGTCAGCGATGTGAAGACACTTAATAATTAAACCTGAAAGTTAATTAATCGTTATTTAAATATCTGAGAGAAACATATTTATTTAGAAAAGTAAAGAAAACATTAATTACTACCCTATGCATCATTCCTGTTTTTAATAGCAGCATCTCTATAGTCTTCTCCTTACAAACTGTTTTGTAAGGACGAAAATGCACACTTGAACACAAATCAATTATTAATTAAAACTATGTATTTTCTTCTCACTTAACCTTCCTGTGCTGTCTTCTCTCAGACTGTAATTTCCTGGCTTTTTCTTCATTTCCTGTTCTCTGGGGACTAAGCCATTTTCACTGTACTATATTTGGTTTGTTGGGTCAAAAAAAAAAGTGGCAACAAAATTTAGTAGAAGAAAATGAATTAATCATTTCTTCTTGTGAACTTTTTACGAATAGTCTTCCTGGCCCTTTTTCTGCCATTTCTTCTCTCTGCTTGTGAAACTCAGATACTGAAAAGCTAAAAAATAGATCACCTTATGTCCTGTGCTATCTCCACAAATATAATTCTGACAGTCTCGAGTTGATACGTATGGAGACTTTTATAATTTATTAGAATAAACAGGCATGCCTCATCACAAGATACGTAAAAATACTTGTTTTCTCTTTTCTTTGGATAGGCGAAATTGTCATTTTAGAGATTATTTTTCATGTGCTTTTAACAGTACTATCAAACTAAATCAAAACAAGCCCTTGCTGTAGCCGATTTGGCTCAGTGGATAGAGTGTTGGCCTGTGGACTGAAGGGTCAGGTTCAATTCCGGGCAAGGGCATGTACCTCAATTGCAGGCTCCATCCCTGGCCCTGGGCCGGGTACATGTAGAGCAGCCGTTTGGCAGGTCTCTCTCACATCGATGTTTCTCTCTGTCTCTCCCTCTCCCTTCCACTCTCTCTTAAAAAAAAAAAAAAAAAAAATCAATGGAAAAATATCCTCTGGTGGGAACTAACAATGACAAAAAAAAAACAAAAAAAAAAAAAACAAGCCCATCTCTTTTGTTCTGTGATGGAGCCATATTGAACAGTTTCTGATAAGGGATACAAAACATTTCAGAACAGAAAGTAACAGTAAAAGCTGGCACGTGACAGGCACCGGAGATTAGTTATCCAACACCACTGAGTCGTCTAGGGAGCTGCCAAGGCCCAGCTAAGATTTAGATCCTTTGTTCGCCTTCATACCAGCCCCCGTGCGGATGAATTCCCTCCCTACTGCTCCATGGCCCTAGTATCAGAGCGGCTGGTGCAGGGGCTGAAGTTATCCAGGGTCGGGTTCTTCTAGTTTGTTAAAGACTCAGATGGAGGGGTGCCACACCGAAGGCATTGCTGAAAGCGTGTGGCTCTGAAGCCAGGCCTTACACCGGGCAGGAAAGGAGCCCGAGGGAGGCTGATGGGAAGGGAAGAGGCCTCAGGCTGGGAGTGCCGCAGGGCTGGGGAGCAGGTCTGCGAGGTGGAGGGCTGGAGACACTGTTTTCAGGCCGTCCGAGAAAGGAAAACCAAAGGAGCTGGCATGAGAAAGATAAGCTTATAGACATAAGGCTTGTCACTATCCATGATTCATGGCTGTAGACTCCATTCTTATTTTTAAATATATATATAATCGATTTCAAAGAGGAAGGGAGAGAGAGAGAGAGAGAGAGAGAGAGAGAGAGAGAGAGAGAGAGAAACATCAATGAGAGAATCATTGATCGGCTGCCTCCTGCAAACCCCCTGCTGAGGATAAGCCTGTTACCCGGGCATATGCCCTGTCCAGGAATCCAACTGTAACCTCCTGGTTCATAGGTTGACACTCAACCATGGAGCCATGTGGCCAGACAGGTCTCACATTTTCCATTGTGCAGAAGAACCTCTCCCTGCCGCCATGAATTTTATTCGGGTCTTGAGGATGCTCCTACATGACTTGTTGATTTTTATTACTTTTACGCTCAAAGAGGTAACATTGCAGGGACCTGCCTGAGGCCGGTTACTGAACACCCAACCAGTCTCTCCCCGTAAACCAAGTTCTGATCCTTAGAAATGCTTACTTCCAGGCCCCCTTCTACGTCCATGTCAATACCGATCGCCGGGGAATCCGAATCTCTGGAAGAAGACAGAAAAGGAGGGGAAACTCTCAAAATCCACCTTGGAATAGCAGGTATGGCTGTGCCGTTCACTGGGTTTGTAACTGGTGAGATTTGCATAATCCGCCCACATTTAAAATTCTTTGGGGACGTGACTTATTAAAAATACTGAACAATAAAAACAAAGTCTGTTATTTAAGGTAGAGTTCTGTTAATTCTTATGAAAAATACTTCAGTTCTTCAGTAAACCAAGGAATTAAGTGTCATTTTCTTGCAATAGGGTTGTTACATCGCACTGATTTTAAGGAATCTCTTTCATGCTGCAGTGTGCTTTTCTTTATATATGTATATATATATATATTTTTTTATTGATTTTTATACAGAGAGAAAGGGAGAGAGATAGAGAGCTAGAAACATCGATGAGAGAGAGTCATCAATCAGCTGCCTCTTGCACACCCCCTACTGGGGATATGCCCGCAACCAAGGTACATGCCCTTGACCGGAATTGAACCCGGGACCCTTCAGTCCCCAAGCCGACGCTCTATCCATTGAGCCAAACCGGTCCCGGCCGGTGTGCTTTTCTTGATCATGAGCTTGGCAGTTGATAAAACCCGCAGATTAGAATGCAGTGGACCGTTGTCTTGTGAGCAGTGACAGGAACACGATGTTATGACATATTGCAGATCTCTCAGCAAAGAGCGCCTCCGTTCCGGACGAGCTAGGAGCCTGTGGACATTCGAGAACGTCGAGCCACGCGAGCCAGCAGTCGAAAGTATCAGGTAGGGCTGGACGGGACGTTCCTCGGGCCTTTATTGCTCTAAAGCAGGGAGCCTTTCTTTGCCAGGGGCCATTTGGGTGTTTACTTACTTTTAAAAATATATTGTTATTGATTTCAGAGAGGAAGACAGAGAGACATCAGTGGTGAGAGAGAATCACTGATTGGCTGCCTCCTGCATGCTCCACACTGGGGATCGAGCCCTGATCCTGGTTCATGGGTCGATGCTCACCCACTGAGCCACATATTTATATCATTCTTGGACCTCCCAGAATTATCAACTGAGAAATTAGCCTGCTCTATTTGGTCAGACATTTAACTCACCCCTTAGGCCTTGGCAGGGCCAGACCAATTGCTGCCTGGGGCCTTTTATGGCCCGAGGGCCAGATGTTCCCCACCCCTGCTATAAAGGTACCCGAAGTGGTGCGGTGTGAGAGGAGAGGGTTGGTCGCAGAGTGTCTGGTAAAGGCGTCCTGTCCTGAGCGAGCTTCTCTGACCACAGGGTACAGCTCGTGCCACTCCCGGTCATCCAGTCTCTCTGAGCTCTGCCACCGGAGAAACACCTCTGTGGGAAGCACATCGACGGGCGTGGAAAGCATTCTGGAGCCAAGCGATGAAACTGAGCAGAAAGGAGCCGAGCCAAACCCCGATGCAGCTGACAGAGAAGACTCGGCCTCAGACACCCTCACCAGGTACCCTTCAGGCCTCAGCTCCATGGAGCTGGGGGGGGTCACAACACAGTATAAAGGACGACTTTTTATTTTATTTTTTTAATATATTTTATTGATTTTTTACAGAGAGGACGGGAGAGGGAGAGTTAGAAACATCGATGAGAGAGAAACATGGATCAGCTGCCTCCTACACACCCTCCACTGGGGATGTGCCTGCAACCAAGGTACATGCTCTTGACCGGAATCGAACCTGGGACCCTTCAGTCCGCAGACCGATGCTCTACCACTGAGCCAAAGTGGTCTCGGCCTAAAGAGGATATTTTAAACATTCTTTCCAAAGGTGCCCGGTGAAACAAGATTCTGTAGAATTTCAGCTGAAGCGAGTCGATGACACCAGAGTGGACGCCGACGACATTGTGGAGAAGATACTGCAGAGCCAGGACTTCAGCCTGGACTCCAGTGCGGAAGGTGCGTGGTGGCCGTGGGCCGGGCCAGCCAGTGTAGCCGGGCCAGCCGGGAAGGGGCTCGCATCACCACGCTGTCTGAGCGCATTGGTGAAATGCACTTTATGCCCGTAGAAACCCGAAGATAACCTTGTAGCTCATTTGTTTCTAAGAATGGACATTAAATTCGATAAAGAACAAACTTTAAAAAAAAAAAATGTTTTAAATATTTTTTATTGATTTCAGAGAGGAAGGGAGGAGAGAGAGATAGAAACGTCAGTGATGAGAGAGAATCATCAATTGGCTGCCTCCTGCACGCCCACCCCTGGGGATCGAGCCCACAGTGCAGGCATGTGCCCCGACCAGGAATAGAACCATAAGTCAAGGCTCAACCACTATATTTTTAGTTTATTGCCTGACCACACTGGCCAGGCAAGAATGGACTTTTAAAAGCTCAATTTTAGAGAAAGCTCTTCACTGTATTTTTTTTTTTTTATATTTTATTGATTTTTCACAGAAAGGAGGAGAGAGGGATAGAGAGTTAGAAACATCAATAAGGAGAATCATCGATTAGCTGCCTCTTACACACACCCTACTGGGGATGTGCCTGCAACCACGTTACATGCCCTTGACCAGAATCGAACCCGGGACCTTTCAGTCCGCAGGCCGACGCTCTACCACTGAGCCAAACCGGTCCCGGCACTTCACTATATTTTTTAATTATGCACCCATATCTACTATGTGTATGTACCTTTTTAAAAAAAAAAATATATATATATATATATTTTATTGTTTTTTTACAGGGAGGAAGAGAGAGGGATAGAGAATTAGAAACATCGATGAGAGAGAATCATTGATCAGCTGCCTCTTGCACCACCCCTACTGGGAATGTGCCCGCAACCAAGGTACATGCCCTTGACCGGAATCGAACCCGGGACCTTTCAGTCCGCAGGCCAACGCTCTATCCACTGAGCCAAATTGGTCTTGGCTATGTGTATGTACCTTTTGATGGATATTTACATCTGCTTTGTCATAACTGGACATAAGTGCTTCAAGGCTCTGTCGCAGTGCGGAAGGTTGGGTGGTAAACCGGAAATGACAGTGAATAACGAATCCTTCACTCCCTCAGCATTTCCACTGAAACTGAGAATGCCCATGCCACCGGGTTGAAGGTGGCATTATTCCTGCTGGTGTGAGCGGAGAGCGGCTTAACAGAGGGCGTGGTTTCCTCGCATGACTGGTTCTGAAGAGAAACCGTTAAGCCTCTTGTGGGAATTCGTAGAGCGAGCTGTCTTCTTTATTCAGTTTTAAGAAAAACAGCTTTAGGGAAGTTGAGGAGAAATGACTATTGGGATGGGTCTTCAATGGTCTGTTTTAAATAAGATGACCAGACATCCGCTGTGGATAAAAATCGGGACTTTTTTAAAACGCGGCGGGACACATTGTTGAAACTCGGGACGTCTGGCCACCTTAATTTTAAAACATGTCTATAGCTTTTTTAAAAGTTTTTATTTTGTCTAATAAAACGGGAGTGTAAAGCTTGGGTTTATGGCTCCGTGAATGTCACTGGCCTATGCTAACCGCCCACCACGTGCCGTCCCTGCAGAGGAAGGACTGCGGCTGTTCGTGGGCCCCGGAGGGAGGACGACCTTCGGCAGCCACCATCCTCCCAGCCGGTAAGGAGCCCCCGGGCCTTGTTCGAGTGCAGAGCACACGGGCCTCGTCCTCCGAGTCCCATGAGCAGAGGAGGAAGGTCATAGGCTGAGGAACGCTGATCTCAGCCGTTAGTGTGAGAGGACCGGACACGGGACCCATCCAGTGTCTTCATTATCCACAGTGACTGTTCCTTTTCTTTTTTTTAAATAAATCTCTACCTTTGATATTTACTAATTATATAATCTTAAGAATGTCACTTAATTTTTTTTTTAAATGTATTTTATTGATTTTTTTTTTTACAGAGAGGAAGGGAGAGGGAGAGAGAGAAACATCTGATGAGAGAGAAACATCGACCAGCTGCCTCCTGCACGCCCCCTACTGGGGATGTGCCCACAACCAGGGCGCATGCCCTTGACCGGAATCGAACCTGGGACCTTTCAGGCCACAGGCCGACACTCTGTCCACTGAGCCACACCGGTCAGGGCAAACAGTTGAATATTTCAAGCATTTTCTATCTGTGGTACCTTTAACCCTGTGGAAATCGGATCTGGTAGGAAATGCGGAACACACCCCTCTCCCCGAGAGCCCAGGGTCACTGGGGACAATTTCAGACGCTGCCACTCAGAATGGTGACCTTTTCCCCCTGCTGTGTAGAGTGGTGTCCGGAGCCTATGAGCAAGTTGTGATCAAACGCTAGACGCCCGGCTGGCGAGCGGCGGCTTCCCCTCGGGCGTGAGAGGCGGCGGCTGAGCTGGCAGGCGCTTTCCTGGGAGAAGGTGGATCCGTGTGGAAGAGGAGGCGTGTCCGTGTGTCCCCAGGAAAGCCAGCGCACACGGGGGGACCATCAGACGGGTGTGTCGGGGCCCTGCGCGTCGTGTGTGTGTCTGTGTGTGTGTGTGGAAGTCCACAGCTTCCGTGGTCACTGCCCGGGATCATGCAAAGACTGCTTTTTCTTTCAAAACCCCCTGGAGGGGAAACGGCACTGTGCACCCGGGTTTGGTTCGTGTTGAAGCATAAAACCTGCAGTCAGGGTGCGTGCGCAACAGATTCTCAGTACTTCATGTTAGGTGTGAGAGACAATACATGATAAAGACATTATACATTCTGTCAAGATAGTTGTAATTCCTTCTAAGGGAATCTTGCATATATTATACTACCTGGAGTATTGTACTAAGTTTAACTCATTTTGATACAGTTGGAATAATTGGTATAAAAAAAATTTTAAAAAGTGTGGGTGTTCATGCTTTGGGGAAAAGCTATATATATAGTAGTACAATTGAAACCTTGCAGTAAAATGCTTAGCGTAAGCGTATCAGTCATAGTCGAATAACAAGTGTATTTGAGTCTGAGCTCCATGACTGGGAGAAATGCTCTTACTAGGCAGTGTGTGTTGTTACTTGTTAGTGTTAGATGCTGCAGAACCCCCTGGCACTGTGTCGGGCCACGGGAAGCTTCGTGTTCCATGTCAGGCTGCCATGCCCGCGCACACCCTACCAGACGAGTGTTTTAACGTCTCTGAACAATATCTGTTGGTTTAGAGCAACTGGAGCAAAGTTGTGATATGATGAGACACAGAGCAGCCTTCCTCTGTAAGTTCCCACTTCTCTGACATGGAAAATTATTCCAAGGAGGGACCTGTGGTCTTCTCTCTCAGCCTTCCCCCACATCAGATACTGCGCTCTCTTCTCACTGTATCAGGAATTGGTTGTTTTGAGGCACGATTAAACTAGAACATACATCAAACAGAGCATTGAAAGTAAGCATAGCTGGCCCGGCCGGTGTGGCTCAGTGGTTGAGTGTCGACCTATGAACCAAGAGGTCACGGCTCAATTGCCCATTAGGGCATATGCCCAGGTTGAGGGCTCAATCCCAGAGGCAGCCGATCGCTGATTCGAATCATTGATGTTTCTCTCTTTCCCACTCCCTTCCTCTCTGAAATCAATACAAATTAAAAAATAAAGTAAGAATATTTGGAGCTGGCTTTAGCTCAGCAGTTCCTTTGAGTCACTTGCCAACCACTCCTGCTGGCAAGGGTGGTTTGAGACCCAAGGGTGCCCTCAAACCCTTTAAATTAAAAAATAAAATAAAGAATATCTGACCTGGATTCAGGTTAACAGCAAATAAACCTGAAGAGTTTTTTTGGTTTTATGAGACCGTTTCTGTGTGGAAAGACCTTAACTTTCTTACTTTCTCCCTAGAATATTTTTTCATTGATTTTTAGAATTGGAGGGGGAGAGACAGAGAAACATGGATGTGAGAGAAACATCGATTGGTTGCCTCTTGCACACACCCTGACTATGGGATTGAGCCTGCAACCAAAGTATGTGCCCTTGACTGGAATCAAACCGGAACCCTTCAATCCGTGGGCTGATGCTCTATCCACTGGTCTAAACTGGCCAGGACTAGATCTTAATTTCCTTGGAATCATCCAGTCTGTTGAAAAAAAATGTAGATTCTATAAAACCAGTAATTTCCATTCTTTACTTTTAAAACCATGTCCAAGTAACATGTTAGAATTCCTTTGGTCTGTGTATTTTCATGTGAGCAAAATAGGGGGGGAAGGGTATTTTTTTTAAAGTATTTTAATATTCAAATTGAGAGGTTAAAGAAACTTTAAATAGTTCATGTTAGGGCTTTTGTGTGGTTTTTAATATTTCAAGGATTGGGTATTCCAAGCAAACCCAAAACTACTTTAACAAATAGACTCTGAGATTTTTAAAGCAATGACACCCAGATAGGTCTTTTTTCTGAGTCACTTACCTAAGATTTGTTTTGAAGAAAAAGAAAAATTGACCTGAAGATATAAGTTCAGCCAGGGAAAACGTTACCTCGAGTGGTAAAGACTTATTGTCTGTGATTAAACAAATGAAGGACTCCCTTGTTGTATATTACAGAAAAGAATCAAAGAAAGTTTTCAATAGAAATATGAAGATATTATTTAGAGAGATATTTATTATGACATTTTAAAAACCTATTTTTCTATTTTCAAAATAGTATTCCTAAGCTATATTTTTGATTGACGCTTCTGCAAATGGCTTTGCGGTTGTGAAATGCTCACAACTAGACCGCAGGCCAGGCTCTGTGAGGACATGCCCCAGCTATGTCGAAGGAGCTGCCATTCGGACACCGGCCCTGTTACTCATCCTTGGCTGCCCTTGTCCGAGACTTTTATGCGAGACAGACTCTTGGTATGTGAAAATGACACCGAATTCTTTTATGAAAGCAAAATGTGAATTTTGAAGAGCATAAAAATTTTGCCTGTATACATTTAGCAGCCAACAGGGAACATCTTGCTTTCTATATGAATCAACATAACAAGCATCTGAATCCATGGAAACATAGGAAGAAAAGAGACGGCAGTGTCCTTCATAGGCAGTGAAGTCTGCATCCATTTTATTCTATTTTGTGTCCCATCAGCACACTTTGCAATCACGTTTCATTCCAGTCCCTAAAAATATGTCAGAGTTTGCCTACGTGGCTGCCTGACTTCCAAGTTCTTCTTTTCGTGGAGCCTGTAAATCTGCTTAATCAATTCTAAGTACTTTTGGTTTCGTTTTGAGGTTGGAAATGGAATTTGGGAAAGTAGATCTTAATACATTGACTTCTAAATATTAGACTCATACTTCAAATCCCCTCGTCTTGGAGAATTTGTACATCTGTAACATTTCCTAACCCTGTGCCAGAGAAAAAGATGAATGGGATTTTAAAGTGACATTTCTGATAAGTGTCTTAAATACCTTGTTTGGGGGAATTACAGAAGAAGCAGGTCAGGAGCCCACTTCCTGTGACTTGTGCTGGTGACGGAGACCAGAGAGGATGTGAAGGGCAGCCAAGGACAGAGAAGGCCTGAGCCATCCGCTCCCCCTGTGCGGTGGCGTTGAAGGCACTGTGCACAAGCACTTCACGTGGACTCGTTTTATAATCTGACAGTCTCTTTTTTTTAATTTATTGCTTTTTTTACAGAGGGGAAGAGAGAGGGATAGAGAGTTAGAAACATTGATGAGAGAAAAACATAGATCAGCTGCCTCTTGCACACCCCGCACTGGGGATGTGCCCACAACCAAGGTACATGCCCTTAACCAGAATCGAACCTGGGACCTTTCAAGTCCACAGGCCGATGCTTTCTATCCACTGAGCCAAACCGGTTTCGGGCTGACAAAGTCTTGACCAACATACTTCAACTATCTACTAAGCTCCAGTCAAAACATACTCACATAGCAATGAGATTCAATACCTGGAAAACAGCCAGACTTAATTGTAGACTTTAAGATTTCCTCGCTAACTACCACTTTGCAAGCTCAGGCTGACAGTATTGTTCAACACTTCACTGAAGAGCTACTCTGAAGACTCAGGCTTCCAGGACATATAACAACGCTCCCGAGAGACTGGGCTCACGTGATGGGGTTGTGTTTTATTTTGGCAGGTCTTTGACTGGGGCGGTTCAGAAACCCTACTCGGTCAGTTCTCCTAGATGGTACGTCATGTGACTATGATCAGGTACTGCAACTGCATCATATCACTCTTTACATGCTGGCTTAGGTACTGTGCATACTCGTAAGAGCCGAGATGTCGAAGAATATGAAATCCAAAAACATAAAGGATGCCTATATGAACCCTATTTTAAGACTGCTCTGGAAATAAGGCCTTATCATTCCTTTTCTATGTGTGACTTTTCATAAGATAATAAGCAGTGTGGGGCAAAAGTAGGTTTATACTTGTTCATCTGGAAAATACAAGCATTAATAAATAATAGGTATTCTAATTCCTCCCACTCCTCCCAGTCAATAAAAGGTTTTAAATTATAAACGTAATAATAATACAAGAAGAAACTCTGTGCTTCGAGTACTCACAACGTAAGTTGTGTGCTTTTGCCCCACACTGTCCACACAGTGTATTGGACACAGCTCTGTAGGTGGTTTCCCGCTCCTCCTCCGCAGGCACAGCTGGCAGATTCTGTAACTGACGCAGGCTATGGGCTCTGCATTTACCAATGTGTATGTCTGTCTCTTGATGATAATCATTGACCAAACCCCATCACAGGAAGTCATTTCGGGTACATTCAGTTTGATTCATTTTTTTTTTTTAACCTTTGTTGGGGAGTTACCTTCGTTCTGTGCATTCGTTTTTTTCTTGTGGAAGCTGATCCAGTGGGAGTAGCCACGTCAATGTTTATGCAAAAATGTTTATTGAAGTGATTCCATTAGTATTGTGTCCTAATACTTGGAGAATGACCTTCATTTTTATACGTTTCTTTGTTTTAACTGCACAACTATAAATCCAGGAAATGTCTCTCCCCCGCCCCCTTTTTTTTTTTACAGAAACTAATTTTTTACTGTAAAGTATTTGTAATAATGTAAAGGTGAATCCTATACATGTTCAATAAAAATCATATCTTAAAAGTTTAAAATTTCAGTCAAAGCTTCTGTCACTTGCCAGGGTCAGAAAACAGATGTGAAAGGACCGGTGTGTAACTTTCCCCGGGGGTTTCCCTTCAAAAGACATGAGCCTGCAACACGTGACCTGCGTCTGAATCCAAACGCCCTTCAGAACTTATTGTCTTCCTTTTTCTTTCTAACATTTTTATTGATTTTAGAGACAAAGGAAGGGAGAGAGAGAGAGAGAGAGAAACACTGATGAGCTCCCAGGCCCAGCTTTCATATTATGACTGAGAGCTTAGTGCTTCTCTCTTTCTCCCCCCATCCCCTCCCCTTTCACCTTAATTTACCTCTTCCTCTCTGTACATCACACACCTGGTAGCAGCACATACGGAAATGAAATCTTTCCGTGTGCCTGATAGGAAATCTCTGGTGAGTCAGTCCATCCCACATTACACAAGACGCGAGAGAGAAAAGGCCTAAATTTAGACATTCGCTGGGTTGGTGATGTGTCTTCCAGATGGACCCAGGTACTAAGGAAGGGTCAGGCCTTCCTGTTTGAGTCAGTTCAGACCTCATTCATATGCCGTTACCACTCAGGCAGGCCGGGCTGTCTCCTGAACCACTTCTCTGAAGACACTAACATCACTCTTAGATCTGGAAATCGCTTCAGCAGCGCTTTCCTGTGCGGCAAACGCTTCAAGCCGCGATGGAAAATTGGCATGACTGTGTTTTGGGGTGGTTGTTTTTTTTTGTTTGTGGGTTTGTTTTTTTTGTTATTGTCTTACATCTTACATCGGGAGTCCTCAAAGCAAAAGAATGCATTTACTTCAAGTGGGAAAGTGTGCCACCTTCTGGTATTTGAGTGTCAGTGATTCAGTTTAAACATACCTCTCCCACGCAATCCTGTGCCTGCCCATCTTTCCCCATATTCCATGTTGTGATAATCAAAGGAAGTTTTTTTTTTTGTTTTTTTTTTTAATACATTTCCATCAACCTCAGAGAGAGAGAGAGAGGAAGGGAGAGAGAGACAGAAATCTCTATAATGAGAATTACTGACCTGCTGCCTCCTCCACACCCTCACTGAGGATCCAGCCTGCAACACTCACCTGGAATCAAACCAGGACCTCCTGGCTCATGGGTTGATGCTTAACCACTGAGCCAGCACCAGCTGGGCCAAAGGAAAATTTTATCTACTAATTTTAAGTAATTTGAAATACTTGGAAGCAATTTTTCACACTGCTTAAATAGGGTTAAAGTGTTTCCTTTCCCTTTAGTATGGGATTAATGGAAGATTCAGTGAATTCACTTTCATGAGGATTCCTCCTGGAAAGGTCTGGGTGATCAGTAAAGAGACAGAGGGACAAGGCTGGACAGAGACACAGCAGTGGAATGTCCGTCTGTTCAGCGAAAGTGGGGTGGGAGTCGGGAGAATGCGGGTTTCTGGGAAAGATGAGGAGCTGATCAGAGCTAGGGTCCCATCGGACAAGATGGGATGGAGAGGGGAGATGAAGGGAGCAATGCAGGCAGGGCACTGAGCTCATTGTCAAGAACAGTGCCTACCTGGCATGCCGCTAGCTTTGAAGACGACTTGCAAGGTGAAATGCCCATTGAACACAAGTATGACTTCGCGACCCTCCCAGCTTGTGGGATCTCAGCAATGCGAGGTGTTCCCTATTTGAGGATACCCCCAAAGGCATGCACCACATTCGAGGTAAACATGTTAGCCGGAGCATTCACACTGTTCCCCATCACATGAAGCAGTGCTTCTCTCTCCTCCATCACTATCTCCACCCCAGTTCCAGCCAGCAAGCTGCCAAAGGGGGCGTTGGAAACCCACGGACAGTGTTCACATCACAAAGCTTCCCTTTCCTCCCGTCACCCACACTCCTGTGTTGTATGACGTTTTAGGCCAGGGGTCGGCAAGCTGCGGCTTACAAGCCGAGGTTTGCCACTCTGTTGACTATTGAGTTTGCCGACCACTGTTTTTTTGTTTTTTTAATATATTTTATTGATTTTTTTTACAAAGAGGAAGAGAGAGGGATAGAGAGTTAGAAACATCGATGAGGGAGAATCATCGATCAGCTGCTCCTGCTCACCCCCTACTGGGGATGTGCCTGTAACCAAGGTACATGCCCTTAACTGGAATCGAACCCGGGACCTTTCAGTCCACAGGCGACCCTCTATCCACTGAGTCAAACTGGTTTCGGCTGCCGACCACTGTTTTATTCCAACTGTGAGAGATCAGAATTTAGCCCAAAGGAGGGTGCGGATCCTAGAGATATTTTCAAGCTACCCTTACCCCCTGGGAAAAAGTTGTAAACGCTCTATTTCCTTTAACATTCTTTAATGCCAACAACAACAAAAACCAAGCATATCAGGAAGTCTCTACAAATACTCCCAAACAAAACAAGCCTATTAAAACAACAACAACGTGTCAGTCATCTCAGAGTTACGTTACTGGGATAATGGCTACACCTGAGCGCCCTAGGGGAGTGCTCCCCTCCCTTGGCGAGACCCGGACTCTCGGGATGGCCGGCTCACGGACTCGCATCCCGCAGGTCGACCTTCACGGCGGACCCGTCCCGGCTCAGCCTCACCGTGTCGGCGATGAGCGCCCTCATCGTGTCCACGCTGTCGCACAGGCGGTTCACCTTGGGGTAAGCCAGCAGCCTTTCCAGCGGGACGTAGAGCTTGTTCCCAAAGCGGAACGGTTCGGGAGACTTCTCGATTTTGCGTTTTTCAAGTTCTGTGAAGACCGGCCCGGAGAAGGGGACGAGCCCGGGGTCGCTGGCGCGGTGGCCGTCTTCGTCGCCGCGCCGCAGGATCCGCAGGCTGGACACGTACCTCTGCCGCAGGCTCTGGACCTGGCGAGACACCTCGCTGGCTACTGCGAGTTTGCGGATTTCCTTTTGCTGTAGACTCGGATAGGAGACGGAATACACCTGAAGCCGGGGGAGGGAAAACCCCCCCACTTAGCATGTAGGAAAATGTTCCAGGCCGTGAGTAGTAACTGTATACCACGTGAAGAATTAACTGTATGGCCCTGGCTGGTTTGGCTCAGTGGATGGAGCATCAGCCTGCGGACCAACGGGTCCTGGGTTCAATTCCGGTCAAGGGCACGTACCTCGGTTGCAGGCTCCTCCTCCCTGGCCCGAGCCCTGCTTGGGGCTTGTGCAGGAGGCAACCAATCAATGTGTTTCTCTCACACCGATGTTTCTCTGTCTTTCTCTCTCTCCCTAAAAAAATCAACGGAAAAATATCCTCAGGTGAGGATAAAAAAAAAAAAAAAAAACTGCATGTGCAAATGTCAAACCCTAATTATAAATACGGACACATGGGCTCAACAAGGCAAAGTGCTGCTAATTAAGAAGAGAGATGTGTTGTTCTTCCCCCTTCTGCTTCCCTGAAACCAAAGAGTCAGAGACGCTCGGAGGCTCAGTTCCATATCACTTCCTGAGCCCAGCAGTGACTTGTCTGCTGGCTGTCCTCCTTCTGCCGGGGACCCTGACGCGGTCCAGAGGGGGGGGGGGGGGCCGCTGGCCCAACAGCTCAAAAGACCATCCATCAGAGCTCTGACCATGGCGGGGCAAGTAGGCTTCTCCCAGGGCCCCCTCATCCTCAGGCCTTCATTACGCTCTGCTGCGGGACTCTTGGTAAGGAAGGGTTCCCCTCGGAGGTACATATTCTGCTTGTCCTGACAGCTGCCCCACAAAGAACGCTCACAATCCACACGGCTGGCGTGGCTCAATGACTGAGCATTGATCTATGAACCAGAAGGTCATGGTTTGGTTCCCGGTCAGGGCGTGTGCCTGGGTTGCAGGCTTGGCCTGCAGTCTGGGGGGATGGGGAAGGAGGTGCAGGAGGCAGCCAATCAGTGATTCTCTCTTGTCATGGATGTTTCTCTCTCTCTCCCCCTTCCCTTCCTCTCTGAAATCCATTTTTAAAATAAATAAGAGAACACTCACAATCTTATAAACGTGCTGACCACTCTGCTCTGCCACGCACGGTTCCGTGGCCGGCGCTCCCGTTTTCCGGAAGACCCCTATCTGGGTGCAGTAGCCGACGTTCCCAGCGCCTTCCGGCGGCTCCCCCACGCCGGTGAACTCCACGGAGTAATGGTAGAAATCCGCCACCCCTGAGGCCCTGGAATCCGAACGAGAGAGATCAGGGTCTTTGCTAAACTCGAAGGACTGTTCCATAGATGGCAATTCCCGGGAGGACAGAACACGAACAGTGCGAGCAACCAGAAGGCTCCCGAGTTGCAGATTCTCACCCATCACACTATGCCCAGCGTGGGCTCTGCTTGCTCCTCCGAGGGGCATTCAGGCAATGGCCGAGGTCAATGAACCACGAGCACATGGAGACAAGGAGTGTTGTGGGACAGAGCAGAGGAACGGACAGGGACACCACAAAGGCTGTCATCCCGACTCCTATTTGGGTTTGGGATCGTGCCAAGAACCCGTGGAGTCCCTGGGAGATGCCCCTGGGCCAGGGCACCCCTCTCAGTACCACACCTCCCCTCAGTCTTGTTTCCTGACCTCCACACCCACACTCCTTACGCCTCACACCTGGTGGGCACATCTTTCCCACGCCCGCCTGAGATGGGAGAGAGAAAACACTTCCCACCGGCTTGGCGCATGTGCTCTGCGGAAGCAAATCAGTCAGTCACGGACCCATGGAGATTCACTCTCCAGGATTTTAAACGTCCGTGGGGGGGTCCCGAGAAACCCAAACACCTTTGCACTCACCAGGTCTGAAACTGCTTCCTGTTCCACTCAAACTTGTGATCGGAATCTCTCATGGTCACTGCCGGGAACAGGGGGTTGAAGTCCGAGTTGGGCGTGCTGATGACGACCATGGCCGGAGACAGGTACCCAAACACGACTTCGGGAAACCTGGCCAGGTCCTCGGAATCCAAGTGTTCTATTCTGGGAGGGTCAGCGGGAAAAGGTGGAGTGAAATCGAGCTTCACCTGCACGATTTCCCTAACTGACTGAGCAACACGATGTCTGTCCGTTGACGTATCCCCCCTTGGAGGGTGCCACAGTGACCTGAAACAGCCTCATCCTTCCCTCACCCCCCACACCCCCATTCCAAAGGAGATGGGGGTGGTAACAGGCCAGTCCCAACCAGCAAGCAATTTTCTTTACAAATAAAAACCCAGATTACATTGAGGGAACCAAGTTTACTAAGACTAATCCGGTGAAATTTTTCTAATTACACACAAGGAATGCGTTTAATACTTACAACTCGATACATGTGACTAAGTCGAATCCAAGCAAACGAGAATCCCTCTCCACAGCAGAGCCATGGTACAAGATGATTGACAAATTCAGATCCCGGGGGCTTAGATACTCCCCCGAGAACGGAGACAGCCTACACCTGCAAAAGCGTGTTTGCAGACGTCAGCAAGCGCGTTTGAGCAGAGCTGTTTCGAGTTATCCCACCCACAGACACCAGTGACTTCCTTTCATGGGGGAAGGAACTGGCCAATCAGAACAAGGTTCTGAATATCTGACATTGCTCTCATTTTTTAATACTTCAGTCTCCCGGCTCACTTTGGATCAGTGGTTTTCCACTCCGGGTCCTTTAAAAGAAACACCCTTTTGAAATAATCCATGGAAATCCAATAGATACAGGATATTCAAGCTAGAGATGGCGGCCTGGGGCTCTGCCGTTACCATGGCATCCAGCATCCACCTAATTAGATTCTTGCCCTTCGAAACCGAGTTTGCAATGCGCTGACTATATTATAATTATTTAATTGAGACTCTACTTTCTACACTGGTAGGAACCGTATTCCCAACGTATACAGCTAATTAACATGAGGGCAGAGTCATTATGCAGAGAGCCTGAGGCTCTCTGGGTGTGTAATGTGCTACACATTTTAACATTTTAACATTTAACATATTGTAAAATCTTGCATAAGATGGACACTCCCTCTAAGCTTGTGTACTAGCGCCACTGGTTTTAGATCAATGCACAATTCCTCCAGAAACCAGGCATTACCTCTGTGATCCTATTTTATCCTTATTGATATCTACGCCAACAATCAGCTCCAAGCAACTGTGAGATTTAATCATCTGTATGAGGGAAGCATTGCCGCACCCCAAGTCTGCCACCTGCAGATGAGACCAAGGTTATTTCAAAGACGTTTACAGCCAGAGAAGTCCAGAGTGACCAAAGACCTTCTTGACAGGGAGTGGCTATCAGAAGCGAAACCACAATAAAACAGCGTACGGAAAGGATCTCTTTGGCAGAAAAAAAAAAAAGTACACAAGAAGAAATTCATCTCTCGAGACATTATAAGCCCGGGGAGTGGGAGAAATGAGTCCTGTTTAACTTCACATGTTAATCAAGTGCTCATTCATTCCACTTTGCTCCTCCAGCTCCTCCCAGCTTAGTTTTCTCTCTATGACCCTCTACTTCCTGGCGAGGATATTTCCAGTCTCTGGTTACTTACTAACCAAGACTTCTGCATTCGACAAAACATTTTCTTTTATTTTTTAAATGTCTTTATTGATTATGGTATCACAGAATTGTCCTCATCCCCCCATTACCATCCCAAACACCTTCCCACGAATGCCCCCACACTCCTGTTGTCCGTGACCACTGGTTAGGCTTATACGCATGCGTACAAGTCCTTTGGCTGATCTCTCCCCCTTACCCCCACCTTTTCCTCGACAAAACATTTTATAACACAGTTTCAATGAAATGTTTGGAAACTGAGACCTACCTTCTTGGGTTTGTGCTGATTCACTAGGTCGTTGACGAAGCTGTAGCGCTGTCTGTACAGCGGAGGGGAAAAATTAATCACCTTCTTGACGGGAAGATCCAAATGACCATCCACCACACCGTGGCCCTGAAAGTTTACAAACAAACAGTGTTTTAAGTCATACATGACTTCGGGAATCCGGTGAGAAAAAAGCTTTATTTCTGCCAATTAACTGGCAGAACCGAATGGCCCTTGGACCACCTCTGTTCTCACTGTAGGCGTTAGGCGGCCATGCATTTCCTCCACAGTCCGTCTGAGTCTCCTCCCTTATTAAGAACCTGGCTTGCCGAAACCGGTTTGGCTCAGTGGATAGAGCATCAGCCTGCGGACTGAAAGGTCCCAGGTTCGATTCCATCAAGGGCATGTACCTGGGTTGTGGGCACATCCCCAGTAGGGGGTGTGCAGGAGGCAGATGATCGATGATTCTCTCTCATCAATGTTTCTAACTCTCTATCCCTCTCTCTTCCTCTCTGTAAAAAATCAATAAAAATATATTTTAAAAAAAGAACCTGGCTTGATGCTTTATATTGCTCAGAGTCAGCTGAACGGAAAACTGCATTTGATGAAGTAGTTACTACGATAAGCCTCCTGGCGCCAAGGGATCTTTCGTGAACTTCCAACTCCTGGAGTCCAGGCAGACAGGAAGCTGTTCATGATGGACAGTCTCTCCTTGACTAACCTCAAGGCAGGCTCCTTTGCCACCTCTTCTGACTGGACCTGCCGAGCCCAGTGTTGGCAAGATTCCTACGACGTCTGTTTTAGAGACACATCCCGACCCTTCATATGTGACCAAACCCTATTAAGTTCTTCATTTCCCACCCTGGATATTTGATCACCGTGGCATGCCTTCAGCCAGGGTCATGTTAAGTCTGTAAATCGTTTAACAAGAATCTCTTAATGTCTCCTCTCTTTTCCACCCACTGACCCCCGGCCCTCACTCTGCTCAGAGGCTATCAATCCATTAGTCTTTGTTGTAGATGGAGTTAAGCCTGGTCCCTCCCCTGACAGCAATGCGCTTACTGCAACCGTCCTAACAATGGTGCCAGGACGTTTCTTTAACATGACCCCGTTAGGAAAAAGGAACTACGATTAAGCCTGAACAGCTACTCCTGCCCCTAAAAACCAGCATTATAAAGGAATGCAGTCCAGAAAGCACTTCTGTCCAAGAGAAATAAAATACAAGCCAAATATGCAACTTCCTTGTAGCCTGTTTTTTAAAGCATAGTCGTAATATTTTATTAATGCAATATATCTCAAGCTGCCAGAAAAACTCTTGAGAGTCATACGAGGAGGTTAGGGAGGGCAACAATTACCTCTTTGTTGTTGCTCTGTGCCATTTTTTGTCTCCAAATTTCCTTGAAACAAAAATGTAGATGTATCCTTCCAGGAATCAGCAACAACTGGGCTGGAAGTTAAACATTATCAGTTGGAGGGGACGGGGAGTGATTAAAAAAAAAATAAATCAGTTCTAAAAAGAAGTGGAACGAAATAGCTGCCTAGTTCAGTAGGAAAAGGAGAAAGTGGTCTTTCTCCATTCCCTTTCCATGTGACTGTTTAATCCACAGAATTTACTCAGTGCGTTTTATTTCAGACAAGAGCCCGCAGCTCAGAAACCTAAGTAATCACACTGTGCCAAACCTAGCTAAACGCAGCCCCGGGTACCCCTCAGGTACCATTCTTTCCTTTGACTCTTGTTTTACTTTGATACAAACAAAAGGATGCTAGCAGTCTGACATTTCACGAAAGCCCTCAATCTCACTCACATGGCTTGCAAGAACCCATTCGCACACAAAATGAAATTTCGAGGGGGAGAAAGTGTCTCACGTAATAAGCTATGGATGCTCCGACATCTATCCAATAATTCACCATGAACTTGAAGTTCTGGTTCTGACTACCCGCCTGCCTCTCTCAACTACAACTCAGGCTAAGATGTAGGCAGGTGGCCGATGGTTTGACTCATAGGTGTAGGTGGTGTGTACGGGAGGGGCCAGTTTTCCCCTAACACCCCAATTGGCGGGGTTTGACAGAAAACCTCGCTACAGATGTGATTTCAATGTAGGAGAGCTTTAAGGAAATGAAAACGTTTGAAAAATGGTCTGGGTTTTGTTTTGTTTTTCTGCTTTTTCCCCCCTATTTCTTGCTGTGCTTGAGCCTCTCAGGAAGTACTTGGCCTTTGTGTTTTCAGGCTAACTCGGTGAATCCTGCTGACCGATCCTAAAAAAGTGGGTTGCATCTGGTTCACATCGGTCCAGAGTTTGTCAGTGGTCTCAAAACCCTGACTGCACCTTAAGAATCACCCAGGTAGCCTATATAACAGAAGTCTAAGATGCAAATTGACCGAAAGGCAGAACCACCAGGGTCAGGGCGCTCCCACAGGGGAACACCACTCAGCCAGAAGCCCTGAGCCGGGCTCACAGCTGGTGGGCCTAAGCCCTTGAGGGTGGCTCTTCCACAAAATACCATGGCCTGCGCGAGTCTATGTGGAAGAAGTGGCGTTGGAAGAAGTTTAAAAAATGTGGCTCTCAAAAGAAATTTCAATCGTTGTGCCATTGATAGTTGACTCTGTGGACTAATGAGTTTGCGGACCACTGGCCTAAGCGATCAGTCGGACGGACATCCCCGGAGGCTCCTGGACCGTGAGAGGGCGCAGGCTGGGCTGAGGAACCCCTGCCTCCAGTTTAAATAATGATGACCCAGGTTCAGGCACTGATCTTAGGGAGTATTTCATTTCGTTGCCTAGGCGAAGGGCGGATGGAGACTTGACTTTCTAAGATCTCAACCAATCAAGGTTGAGAACACCTGATACATTGAACCATCTTCCTTGTGATAAACACTTTTTTATACGAAGGGACATGTCTGTTCTCTTGGTTACCAAGGACCTAGATGATATCGGGGCAGAGGAGGTGAAATGAAAGAGGTACTTGTTTGGGGTTAACCAGTGTCACTTTTTACTATGTGGGGTGGGGGGGTTAGGGAATAAAATAAAATGTAGGCAACACGTCCAACGCCTAACTTTTCGAGTTATCCTCTAACTCGAATCCTGAAATCCTCCAGGGACCCAGCCTCACAGTCCTGGGCGGGAGCCGGCGCCTGTCTTACCTGCGACTGAGAAGCGCCAGCCGCCGGCCAAGCGTAGAGCCGCCCGCCGGCAGGGAGCGCCGCGCAGCCCGGCTTCTCCCCCCGCGGGCCCCGCCCCGACGGCCGCGCACGCGCAGTCCCGCCGCGTGACGTCCCCGCGCGCGCGGCCGCGCCTGCGCCGTCCGCTCCTCGGCGGTGCGCGCTTCCCGCGCGCCCCCGGCCTCCGCGCGGCTCCGGGCGTCGGTTTTGCGGCTCAACGGCCGCCGCGGCGCATGGCCCGCGGCCATGTCCAGCCGCGACTGTGGGACGCAGGCGTGGGCGCCCCGGCGCGTCCGCGGGCCTCGAGCTGTTGGGGCTGCGCGGCCAAAACTGCAAACGGCCCCGGCAGCGGAGCCCGAGGTATCCGCCGCCCGGGTCCCCGGCACAGCCCACGGGGGGCCCTTCGGGGGGCTCGGGCTGGGTCAAGTCGCTCCAAAACAGCTAAACTCAGAAAAGCTTGCAGCCCTTAAGCTCAACGGGCACCTTCTGCAGGTTTGGGACGCAGCTATCTGGTCTCGTGGAGGCGTTACTGTAGGGGGACCCTCCTTCCCCTGCAGAGATGCAACTTGACCTTTTATAGATCGTTTGCTTTCAAGTCTGGGATGGAAGAGTTTGAGGAGGGGAAGAGAAGTCAAGATGCCTTTTGGGGGTGGGAGGTGTTTTTAGTCCTATTTTATTCTATTTTATTTTTTAAATATTTTTATTGGCAAGGGAGAGGGAAAAGGAAACATCAATGATGACAGGACTCATTGATCCGCTGCCTCCTGCACGCCCCACGCTGGGAATGGAGCCTGCAACTCCCGGCATGTGCCTTGACCGGAAATCAAACCGTGACCTTCTGGTGCATAGGTTGATGCTCAACCACTGAGCCACCGCTGGCCAGGCTTATTAGTCGGGTTTTAAAAGAAAAGCTGCGGTGGAAGGGCTGCTCAGCTGGGTAGAGAGCGTCGTACAGATACACCAAGGTTTCCTGTTCAATGCTGGTCCCTAGTCAGGGCACATACAAGAAGCAACCAAAGAATAAGTGGAACAACAAATTGATGTTTTTCTTTCTACTTCCCTCTCTCTCTCATCAATCAATAAAGTAGTGACATTCTGACATCCTACAATATGAGTGAACCTTGAGGATATTATGCTGAATGAAGTAAGGCGGACACAAAAAGGCAAATATTGTATGGGAGTGAGGCGGTAGGAAAAATAATTGTCAGTAGCTCACGTTTGTGGACATGCGATTCTAGTCCTGTTCATTGCCTTTGAGGCTTTGTTACCTGAAAACTGGACTGGAGCCTGGCGGACGGAGGTGGAAGAGGGTATGGTGGTGAAAGCTGGTGAGAGAGGGAGACTTGACGGGGTAATGAACACACAATACAGGGACCAGATGATGTGGAATTGTGCACCTGAAACCTGTATAATTTTATCACCCCAATAAATTCAAATAAAAAGGAAAAATTGGACTGGATCCTGAACTCTAGTTCTCCCCAATATCTAACATTTTTTAAAAATGTATTTTTATGCCGAAACCGGTTTGGCTCAGTGGATAGAGGGTCGACCTGTGGACTGAAGGGTCCCAGGTTCGATTCCGGTCACGGGCATGTACCTTGGTTGCGGGCACATCCCCAGTAGAGGGTGTGCAGGAGGCAGCTGTTGGATGTGTCTCTCTCATCGATGTAGACTGACTGGGAACTGAACCTGCAATCTTTTGATGTACAGGATGACCAACCAATGAGGAATTTGCATCTTTTATAATAAAGGATATCCTTTATACTATTCCTTGTGGTAAGTGTTGTCCTGAGTTCTGTGAGCTGTGACAGCAAATTATTTACCCTGATGGGCAGAGGGAGGGGATCACAGGAACCCCCGATTTGTATCCAAGTAGGACAGAAGAAGTATGGGTAACCTTACACCCCATTGCTGTTCCAAACTTAAGGCAAGGGAGCTGGCTTTTATATACCCATGATAGGCAGTCACCAGCAAAAAAATGCTACTGAGGAGGAAATTCTCATTTCCCCCCACTTATTTATGCATTCAATGCTTAATTCTTGTATGTGCCCTGACCAGGGATGGAACCAACAATCCCGGGGTATCTGGACAAAGTTCTAACTAGGAGAGCTAAATGGCCAGGGCCCAAGTTTAGGTATTTAGCTAAGAGAAACAAAAGCATGTGGGAATAAAGACTAATACAGCAGCTGTCATTTGTAACAGCCCAAAATTAGAAACAGGAATGGCCATCAATAGATGATTGGATACACAACTTGGGTAAGACCATACGATGTAATACTACTCTGTAATAAAAACGAATACCACATAACCAGTTTATACAATCAGTAAGGATGAATTTCAAAATGATTCCGAGTCAAAGGAGCCAGGCAAAAGAGAACATAGCATCTGATTCATGTAAAATTCTAGGTGCTTCAGTTGCCCAATTTCTATCCAGCCATCACTCCCCTCTAAGCTTATTTCCTGGCTCTTGTCAACTGGAACGTGGACTCTCTCTAATAAGCCTTGATCTACCCTCCTTTCTATATCCAGCCTCTTCTCTGCCCATTACCACCTGTGGAAACTTGTGCTTTTTGTATTCTTCCCTTAATTCCCAAACACATGCGCCTTCTCTGGGTTGACAATAGTTTTTGAGGGAAGACAGATTCTGACTCATTTTCACACTTCCCCCACCTCCTCCCGCCCTCTGGCCCCATTTCGGTGCCTCGACTAATGTTTACTACTCGTTATGCCTCCAAAGACCCGTTAAGAACTCTGAAAGAAAGGACCGAAAACGGATCTAGCCAAAACCGGTTTGGCTCAGTGGACAGAGCAACGGCCTGCGGGTTTGATTCCAGTCAAGGGCAAGTAGCTTGGTTGCGGGCACATCCCCAGTGCGGGGTGTGCAAGAGGCAGCTGATAGCTGTTTCTCTCTCATGGATGTTTCTCTCTTCCTCTCTGTGAAAAATCAATTTTAAAAAAAATTTTTAAACACATCTAACAAAATGCCTGGCGCATCTACTAGGCCAAGTATAGTAGCTCTTTTAATGCTTAGCCCGGCAATATATCATCTCGATCTTACAATTTAATACATTTAGTTTTAAGCAAGACCTCTGGTCGGACAGCACAGCCCGAGGGAGGGCAAAAGACCTTGCATCGTCATCTCAGGGAGGCGTGAGGGCCACCATCCATCCCTTCCAGAGTGTTACAACTGTGACCGCGGGAGGCTCAACATACTCCGCAGGATTCTGGGGCGACTTTGCAAGCCCGGTTTCGAGCGGGAGAGGCCGGGACCCCAGCGCCAATACTAAAACATCCGAATTGGACCCTCAACGCCTCCCTCGGACTCCCCGATCCCCAGAGGCAATGGGAGCGACGGGAACAGGAGGAACGGGAGGCTCCCGCTGCGATCACAGCGAGCACCGAACGCGCGGCGGAAGCCGGAAGAGGGCCGGCCCGCCCACCCGGGCGCCTCTGATTGGCTGCCGGCGACGCTTGGAACTCTGGGGGCCTGTGGCGTCACATCCGCCGGCCCGCCATCTTGTTCCCAGGGGCAGTTGGCGGAAGAGATCGTGCTCCCCTCCCGGCCGCCGGCTCGCCTTCAGCCGGGCTTTCTCGCGGCCAGCTCCTCGGCGTCTGCTCTCGACCCGGAGTGCGTTTGTCGGCGTCCTCGTCGCCCTCCCGTCACCCGGCCGGGGGCACAGCGACGCGGCCCCCTCTCCCGACGGCGTTCCATGGAGTAGGGTCCCGGACCGTTTGTCCCGAAGAGCGATCGAGCTTGGCCCCCCTCCCCCCCTGGTCCCTCCCTCCTTCCTTCCGCCGCAACATGGCTAACAACAGCCCCGCGCTGACAGGCAACTCGCAGCCGCAGCACCAGGCGGCCGCGGCCGCGGCCCAGCAGCAGCCGCCGTGCGGCGGCGGCGGCGGCGGGGCCACCAAGCCGGCCGTGTCGGGCAAGCAGGGCAACGTGCTGCCGCTGTGGGGCAACGAGAAGACCATGAACCTCAACCCCATGATCTTAACCAACATCCTGTCGTCGCCTTACTTCAAAGTGCAGCTCTACGAGCTCAAGACCTACCACGAGGTGGTGGACGAGATCTACTTCAAGGTACGAAGCGTCTAGGCCCGGGCCGGGGCTCAGTTCGGAGAATGGCGTCCGGAGGGAACGGGCGGAGGCGGCCCCCGAGCTCTGAAGACTTTTTTTTGGGGGGGCGGTCCGGGGAAGGTAGGGTGGGCGTGGGGGGAAGCGGTGGGGAGGGGGTCAGACGGGAGCCGCCCTCTTTTCCTTTTCGGATGTTTAGGGCCGGGAGAGGCCGCCGCCGGTGATCGCTCACCCCCCCCCCTCCAGTCCCCCCGCACCTCCTGCCCACCCCCGGGGGGGAGGGGGAGCTGGACGAGACGGTGGGGGTGGGGGGAGCAGGATAAAGTAACGGACGCCTCTCCGGTTCACAGCTCTAAAACTGTTCCTTTTGATGGTGATCTCTCTCCTCGGCGCCAACTTGTTGGTGCTTCTCCCGCTCGCCCCGAGCCGAGGGCGGTGTATTGACTTCAGTGTTGGCCTCGTGTGTGTTGGTATTTACTGTCCAGACAGGGAAATGGCCGGGGCGGGCGGGGCGGGAGGGGGGGGGGGACACGGAAGGCCTGGAGATTGTCCCAGCAGGAAGTCAGGAGTGAGCGGTCTCTGTTACCTGTGCGTTGGGCTTACTGGACCCCTCCGGGCCCTGGGCTCCTGCGGCAGGGTCGGTGCTGGCTTGGCTGTGCTGGGGAGCTCACCTGGCGCCTCCTCACTGCACTCTTGTCTCAGTTCTTGTTTCGTTAGCAGGATTGACTCAGTCTTGCAGCGAGGCTCGGAGCAGCCCAGGGTCGCAGGTAGAGGTATGCACTATTAATCATGCTCAATCGCCATAAATGCATTTTTCCCTGGGTTAAATGGACGGCTAATTAGATTATTTTGGCCATTGGTTTTGGTCTTTGCCAGCTAGATGCGGCTTTCTCCACGTACCTGCAAATTATGTAGGGTTTTGTTTTTTAATCTTCCGGGCCTTCTAAGGTTATATTTTAAAGAGTATTTGTAACAGCCTTGACAACCCTTCAATATTTTAGCTAGAGCATCTAATATAATACAATCCGTTTTGTCTATATTAGCTCTTAAAAACATCTGACAGACCACATAAAGTATTTTCTGTGAGCTGAACATATCTGTGGAGGTGTTAATAAGATAAAATTTTAATTTGCTGTTCTGTCCATCTTTTCCCACTTAAGTTGACTAGGTTATTGAAGGATTCTTTTTAATTGGTTGCTTTCGATAGAAAAATCATCTTGAGAATACAGTTCAACTGTGGGTCTAAAAAGTACCCTGGAGTTTTGATACCCGTTTGCAAAGTATTGTAATACTATCAATTAGGTTTTTTTGGTGTGTGTTTTTTTTTGTTTGTTTGTTTGTTTTTGTTTTTCGTTGTTTTTTTTTAAAGGTAAGGTCTTTTTCAGCATGGATACAGTGTGGTGACTATTCAACCCTTAGCTTTACTTACTAGTAAACTTCAAACAGTTAAAAATTGGGTTCCTGCTCTTCTTGTGGCAGGTTCTGTTTAATGTCAGACAAGTGTTAACGTGATAGAAAAAGAGCTTGTTTTCAAATACTGTGTTTTGAAACACGTCAAGATTCTACTAGAAAGTATTTTAATTTCGTTACAAAACTAAAGCCCCGCACTTTCTTATCAAGACATTAATTAGGTCCAATGATCACGGAGATGTACAGGCTCACAATTTTGTAAGTCTGTTTTGTATTGCCTCCAGCTTTGCTAGCCTTTAAGGAATTGAAACCTCTTTGATGCCACAAGCTGGGGGAATGAAGCAGCGAAGCACAGGCCCAGCTGAGCAAAATAGCAAAGTCAGAAGCCAGAGTGAGGCTAACATGTAACTAAGGTGGGTGGGAAGAGAGTTTTAGAAACACACAGTGAAAGAACAGGGTTTTAGTTTGCACTTAAGAAACAGTAGTTCTTACCTTCCTAAAGGGCCTTTCTGAATTCTATCTTTTGTAGAGCTAATAATCTATCTTTGTTATATTTTAGGTAAAATGTGTGATTTTTATAGGGTGCCCACCTTAGCAAAGATGATACTGAATCTTTGGGTGTACTTAGTGTAATGACTAATCACATTTATTCAGCTGAATTGGTTCACATAATTAGGTTGAAAATAAATTATACACTAACCAGCAAGAATGTTCTCTGTAGGTGTGGTTGTAATTTTATCTTTAATTAGGAATGAATGTAATGTCTGATCATGTTTTAAAAAATGAAATTCCAAAATTTTGCATCAGAAATAACTTGTTACCGTTTTTAGCATACTTCCTTCAAGTCATTTTTCTTTATTTTAGTATCATAAAGTTGAACTATTAAAGGTATTTTAAAGGATTTTGAAATACTTAATCATTAATACTTTTTGCTTTAACTAGGAGTTTACATACATTTTAAAATGAGAATTTTTGTGTGTTTTTTTAAGCAACTCAAAAGCTATAATATCTTTTACAACCATGTGAGACTAGAAATGTTGGCTCCATGTGCACCAGCTCTCCACTGAGCTAATGGATCTCTACTCTGTAAAGCTGTGGTTTTGTTAAACCTTGTAGCTTACTGGTGCTCTCTATATCATCAAAGCAGTTTTTTAAAGTTGGTTTACATGCTTAACATGTGTAAACAAAAGAGGTACATCGTGTCAAAACCCCCAATTCCAAGCTTTTGGAAGAGCTGCTCTCAGCGAATTGGGTTTACTTTAATTATACATGTAAAAAATGTGAAGCATGAATGGTTGTTGTGTTCCTCTTTTCTATTTTCAGGTCACACATGTTGAACCATGGGAGAAAGGAAGCAGGAAGACAGCGGGCCAAACAGGGATGTGCGGAGGGGTAAGTAGAAGTACGTGCATTTTTCAGTTTTTCTGTGTCTGAAAACTAAGTTTATACTTAAGTCAGTTATATCCTGTAATGATAGTTAGAAGTTTGGGTTTTTTGGTGTGTTTTTTTTTTTTTTAATCTAAATTCAAGTGTCCTATGAATAGAATTAGAAAAGTTATTTTTTTAACATTCCATTCTTAGTTGTGGATTATATCTTGTTAATAATACCTATCAGGGTTACTCAATTGGTGTTAAGTAACTATTAATTATTTTACTCCCTTTTTTTTTTTTTTAACTCTTTCTTTTAAAGGTTCGAGGTGTTGGAACAGGAGGAATCGTTTCTACAGCTTTTTGCCTGTTATACAAATTATTTACTCTGAAGTTAACTCGAAAGCAAGTGATGGGTCTCATAACACACACAGACTCTCCATATATTAGAGCCCTCGGATTTATGTACATAAGGTAAACATGTATTTATCTACATTTTCATAAGTATCTCATTTTAATTCACATGAGCCTAATCTGTCTTTTGTAATTCTAGGTACACACAGCCCCCTACAGATCTGTGGGATTGGTTTGAATCTTTCCTTGATGACGAAGAGGTATGTCAACAAGGGTAATAATTAGTTTTTTTTTCCTGATTATACTCTCATGTTTTTAATCTTTTATTTATTGAAGGTTTAAAGCCTTCTGGGATTTTCTGTAGCTAAATTTATTTCACTCAGATACTTTAGGAATTAATGTCCTTTTACTAAGACTTGGCTTTTATATATATTAATTTTTCTTAACTTTTACTCATTTTTAAGTTTAAATGTTCTTTGATTATTAAGTCTTTTCTCTAATTATGTTGTGTTTATGGTATTGATCTTGACTTGTACAGTCGATAGTGGACCATGCTCAAGATTAAAGTAATAAGACATGCTCATAGAATACTAATCAGAGCTTTTTTTAAGGTGGACCATGCTCAAGATTAAAGTAATAAGACATGCTCATAGAATACTAATCAGAGCTTTTTCCCTGAAACTTTTAGTTCTTACCTTCTAACTTCTTTCAAATATTAATGTTCCCACTTGCAAAGAAGTACAGAAGTGAAGAGCTGGGTGAAACTTAAGTAGGCCAAGAGTTAAGATGTCTTGTTCAAGGTGACCAAAATATTTCAGTTCTAGTTTTCTGACTCCTGTTATACTGTACATACTTACAAAGCTAGTATATCTTTTTAAAAATTATTATAGGTTTTGTTTTCATTATAAATCTAGTTTGCCATTCAAGCTTAACAAGACTGAGCTTGTTATACATGAAAAGAGTTACTTTAGGAAACTTAGTCAGATTTAAATAATAAATGCTTTATTAATATGCTTACATAGTGAAGCCCAAGAGCCCAAAGCAGACTTAACAGAGCTTTATTGTCCACATATCTATCCTTACCACTGCTTTATGTTTTAGTAGTCCTTTTTATTTTATTTTATTATTGGTATATATATTTTTTAAATATGTTTTATTGATTCTTTACAGAGAGGGAGAGGGATAGAGAGTTAAAAACATCAATCAGCTGCCTCCTGTACATCCCCTACTGTGAATGTGTCTGCGACCAAGGTACATGCCCTTGACCAGAGTTGAACCTGGGACCCTTCGTTCTGCAGGCAAACGCTCTATCCACTGAGCCAGACCAGTCAGGGCTAGTATATTTTTTAATATATGTGCCTTTAAGAGCCAGCCTATACTCCGGAAAGCCCTCCTAAACTGAGAGGGAGGATGCTGTGTGTCCTGCCAGACTTCCCTCTTACAGGAGAGCAGAGAGAGCTTAGGCCAGGACAAGTCAGTGGTCCTGTTTTTATGGATTAGCTAAAGAATTTGTTGAATTAAAGGAAAGGTGTAATAAAATCTTTCTAGTGGTGGTTATACACACCTTAAAAATTCTCATATAAACATGGAAAATTTTTGGATTTTTTTTTGTGCCTATTTACGGGGTTCAGTATTTCAGACGAAGCAAAAGTTGTGTGTGTTAGGTGATAAACCACAACCTTTTAACTATTTTTCTTTTTAGATGAGATTTTTTTTAGGCCGAAACACTTTATATATTTAAAAAGTGTGTTCCTTTTCATAATTGGTATCATAATGGTATGTTTCTGAATTCTTCTGTGTAATCTTTTTTATTGTGTTTACAAATCTGAGGATCTCTATTTAAGCTAACGTATTGTTTTCTTCCTTAGATATCTGCAGCGATTATATTTGGAAATTCTGTATATCTGAACACTTAAATGTGTGTGAGTGCAAGCAGTTTTACCTGTAGCTCTTGTTTTCCTGTTTAGATAACAAATCTCACTTTCCTTGTGTGCTTGCACTATAGGTTTGGGACTGACAATAGCTGACTAACATGTCCTGAGCTGTGAGAGGGCATAGCAAGAAGGCCTTCATGCGGTAATGACCCTTTTCAGAGACAATGGTCATCATGGATTATGCGTTTCCAATTATTTGTCCATTTATTTATTTTCTACATGACTAAATTAGAAACCTCACTGCTTCATGGCAGTTGGTTTGCTATTGCTTCCAGCTTTATTAGGGCTTCATTTTATATTAGGGCTATTGAAAGATAGTCTTTAGACAGGGACTGTCCAAATAGCTCCTATGTAGCTAGGTCTCAGCACTAGGAATGATGTGTGCAAACATTTCTCCCACAGAAGCAATGTATACTTGGTAGGTACGTGGAATGCAATTTTAAGTTGATTGTTCCACGTAGTTAAGTAACGTAAGGGACTGTTTCATGTTCTTACTGAGCTCAGTTCTCTGCCTAGGAGGCTGTAGGATTTGTTTGTACCTGCATGCACACACTTAAGCCCGAGTATTTCTCTCTCATTCATTACCAGAATAGAAGGGTACACATTGAAATTGTCCTGTTAGATTTTTTTATTTTTTATTTTTTTTTTGTATTTGAGAATCCAAAGATGGTAATTTTTAAATTTTTAAATAGTATTTGTGAACATGTTGAAATAATTTTTTTGACGGCTAGGGTATCTTTTTTGTTTCTGTAGGACCTAGATGTGAAGGCTGGCGGAGGCTGTGTAATGACCATTGGAGAAATGCTGCGGTCTTTTCTCACAAAACTGGAGTGGTTTTCTACCTTGTTTCCAAGAATCCCAGTTCCAGTTCAGAAGAATATTGATCAACAGATTAAAACCCGGCCTCGGAAAATCAAGAAAGATGGGAAAGAGGGCGTTGAAGAAATAGACAGACATGTTGAACGCAGGCGTTCAAGGTAATTAACCTTATTTTTAAAACATGGTTTATGCAAAGGTTCTTAAAAGCAGTGGCAAGTTCTGTTTATAGTGTTCATTTTATTGTCTGTCACTTTCCCTCCCCAAAGGTCATTTTCTGCCTTACATGCCACCTTCGGCAAAATCATGTATCTATAAATGGGAACAAGCAGATTTTTTGCTTTAATCATTCTTGATATGTTCATGTAAGCTAGGGATTTAAATTGATAACACTGGTGTAAGTTAAATTTTTTATACTATGTTTAATTCAGATTTTTTTCTTTCTTAAATATTCTCTCTTTCTTAAATATTAGGTCTCCAAGGAGATCACTGAGCCCGCGGAGGTCCCCAAGAAGATCAAGAAGTCGAAGCCATCATCGGGAGGGCCATGGGTGTTCTAGTTTCGACCGAGAATTAGAAAGAGAGAAAGAACGCCAGCGCCTAGAGCGTGAAGCCAAAGAAAGAGAGAAAGAAAGGCGGCGATCCCGGAGTATTGATCGGGGCTTAGATCGAAGGCATAGCAGGAGTAGGGAAAGGCATAGAACTCGGAGTCGGAGTCGTGATAGGAAAGGAGACAGAAGGGACAGGGACCGGGAAAGAGAAAAAGAAAATGAGAGAGGTAGAAGGCGAGATCGTGACTATGACAAGGAAAGAGGTAATGACCGAGAAAAGGAGCGAGAGCGATCAAGAGAGCGATCCAAGGAGCGGAGAAGTAGGGGAGAGATGGAAGAAAAAAAACATAAAGAAGACAAAGATGATAGGCGGCACAGGGATGACAAAAAAGATTCCAAAAAAGAGAAAAAACACAGTAGAAGCAGAAGCAGAGAAAGGAAGCATAGGAGTAGGAGTAGAAGTAGGAATGCAGGGAAACGGAGCCGAAGCAGGAGCAAAGAGAAATCCAGTAAGCACAAGAGCGAAAGCAAGGAGAAGTCCAATAAGCGAAGTCGGAGTGGCAGCCAAGGAAGAACTGACAGTGCGGAAAAGAGAAAACGGGAGCGGAGCCCCAGCAAAGATAAATCTAGAAAGCGGAGCGGCAGCAAAGAACGTGTCCACAAACGGGATCACAGTGAAGGCAAGGACCAGTGTGACAAACAGGATGAGCGAAGGAGCCAAAGTGCAGAACCTGAGAGCCAAGAAAAACAAAAAAGCAAAGACGAGACTGTGTGAACATGCTTTGTGAAAGTGGATCACATTGAACCTATAAATCTTTGATTAAATCTGCTTTTTCCCCTCCCGAGTTGAGATTGTTGCAGTAGTGCGTACTCTTTAAGCTCCCGTAGGCTGCATTTTCATTTCCTCTTTTGTGTAGGGAAGTGCCTTTGTAATCCCATTTATTGCATTGATGTTTTCACCCAATTGTTGAGTTTGATACATGATGCACAGATTGTTCTTGCATTTTTACTGTTTAGTTTTTGAGATGTACAGTCTGTACATATGTCCTGAAAATGTTTTAATTTCTTTGGCATGGTCGCCATGTTGGTTAAATTTGTATAAGGCAATAAACTGCCACTAATTCTATTTTTGTTCTGTAGGTGTGGGATTATGGTTTGTGTACTGAAGTTTAGCATGGCTGTGCTTTTCGTAATAGAATGCTGAAGACTTTGACAATGGATCTTGGATGTTTATTATAGGAAAATGCTTTCGATGTACATGAAGGCAGCAGCAGTTGTAGGATTAACATTCTTGTCCACTGTATATTATCTTGGAAGACTTGTTAATATGTTATACTTAATATTCTACACAGTTAACTTTAGAGAGAATTTATGAGTAGTTTCTGATACAGAGGTTTAAATTAGGCTGTGATTTGATCAAATGTCCTTTTAGCATTCTACCTCAAAGGGACACTGTTAGTATGCCTAAAATTTATTCACTTAGTTTTTTTAATTGAAAAAATACATGACGTATTTTTTTTTTAATTTCTCAAATTTTAAAGTACTATATTAAAGGGAAAAAAAAATGTCTAAAGCCCAGCATTCTTGCAGCAACCCTATACTAACATGAAATTGGGAGAGGGTGGGGCAGAGGAGTAGAGAACTAGATTCAAGCCTCAAGCTTCCAAAGCATTTTTATAAATGGAAAATACTTAAATTATAAAACAGCTTGATATAGTGTCCTTTTTTTAAAATTCAAAACTTTTTTATTGATAATGAAGATTGCTGTTTGAGTTTTTAAACTTAATGTAGAAAAGAGAAGTATTAAAAGTAATGCTATGCTGCATTATTTAAGATTATTGGCAAATTATTTGATAGATTGTTCTTATGACTTGTATTCTGATTACAGAGAAGGATCATGAGTGTGGAATAAATACTGGATTAAATCCTATATCCTGGGTGTTGACTTTCCCCCTATTTGTTAATATTTTTTAAAAAGTTTTTTTGTGGAAATGGGTAAAATGTTGGTAGTCACACTGTGAAAAGGTATATTTCAGTGGATTTTAAGTGTGTAGACCAGAATTGGACATAGATCAATACTCTAATACTTTCTAGAGTTCTTAGTGGCAGTTCCCTTTGTTCAAGGGTATTACATTATTGGATTATTTTTTGGATTGGGTGATTACTCAGTTTCACATCAAAGGTGCTTATTGAGGTACTTTGTACTTGGATTACATGATTGGACTTAAAAGAATTTTTGTAAGTTAGCTCAATTTTTTTTAGAGCTAAGAAACTCAAAAGTGATTTGTTCAGTCAGTGCCAGGACTAACATGAGTGTTCCTGAATATATTTTGATCTCACCTTTTATTGGCCAACTGATGGGCACTCAGAAGCCACCTAGCAAAAGTGTTAAATGGAGCAAACAAGTATATTTGAAGAGCCAGCCCTTCGTATGTGGGCTTCATTTGTACCTACCTAACTCCAGAAATATCTCATTAAATGAAGAAATTTCTCTGTGAAAATGCTATGCTTTTTTTCTTTTTTCTTTTTTTTTAAGATTGTCATTAAATTGAGATCAAGTGAGTTGACACGACACAGAAATGGGAAAACTTCTGAGTAATGAAAAGCAGATACATCTCACATAGAAAATACTTTTGGTATACCTAAACTAAAGGTGCTACTCCTTGGAATATAGTTCTACATGAAATGTTAATTCAATGGTGTATTTTAAGTAAAATGTGAAAAGGACGGACTTCAAATGGGGTGAAAGTTATATCACAAGCTGCGTTTGATTTCCTGTGACATTAAAGTTAAGTTTGCTTTTGAGGAACATTTTGATAGGAGAACATGCCATAATATTAGATGATGTCAAATATATGTAGGGTTAATTCTTCCAACACAAGAAACTTGGAAAGTAACTAGCAGCCTCCACCCAGTTTTCACAACTTAACTAAAATGCTCTCAAAAACTTCCATTTATACCTTTTGTTTCCTAATGTTCTGTTTATAATTAAATTATATACATGGGTTAGTCTAATATCACTCGATAATTTAATCAAAAATATCCATATAAATGCTCAATCTTTTAGTTAAATCTAGTTCCTTAGTTCTTAACTTTTGATTTACGGGTCCCTTTTTAGGAATTAAATGAAAACTACAGATCATGTCTAGAAAAGAAAAAGAAAAAAGTTCCTTCTTGGATACCTCAGTTGGTTAGGCACTGTCCTGATAGCCAAAGTTAGGGTTTGATTCCTGGTCAGGGCACATACAATCAGCAACCGATGAATGCATGAGATGAAGCAACAGATTAAAACGAAAAAGGGCTCAAATTCAGACAAAATTTCAAAAGGACTAACCTTGGGCTTTTATGCTGATTACGGATTTTTAAAAAAATACAGATTTTTTTATACAGAGAGGAAGGGAGAGGGTTAGAGAGTTAGAAACAAATGAGAGAGAAACATCCATCTGCTCCCTCCCACACACCACCTACTGGAGATGTGCCCACAACCAATAGAACCTGGAACCTTTCTGTCCACAAGCCGGCGCTCTATCCACTGAGCCAAATGGGCCAGGGCTTCTTAACTGATTTTTACCAGCCTGTGATTAGGTGTCCAGTAGTTAGGAATGAATAGCAAGTTACTGGGAGAATCAAAAGACAAGGTGGGGGGTGGGGGTTTTTTAAACAAAATTAGGGGGGAAAAGATAATGGTATTCCCTTCTGCAAAACAGTTTCCTTTATGAATATAAGTAGTTTATTTGAACACTGAGATGAGGCCCAGAGAATGGCAGTGTTTTTGTTTGTTTTTTTTTTAACTGATTCCAATGTGTGATCTTGATTAAACCATTGACCATTACTCCGGTTACACGGGCCAACTGATGAGCTTAAACTTGGTTCAGGTCCTAATCTGATTCAATCCTAACCCGCTGAATTCCTTGAATGACTGACCCAATTACAGGACTTCTTCAGTGGAGCCGATTTTATGGGGAAGGAAACGTTTCTCCGTGACAATTTCGGCCTCTGAAATCCCTCCATTCCGTTCTAAGAGCCACCAGCTCTTTGACTTCCGAAATTTTTCATTTCAGGATCACTGGCTGTCAACATTTGCTACTGTAGGAACATGACAGCATGAATTCAATCAACTGAAAAAATGCCAGCATCGTAGCTGACTTCAAACCCATCATTCTGTTCCTCAACTTCAATAGTCGAGACTACATTTCCGTGACATAACCACCGGTTGGGTGGGGTGTGAAGTGTTCAGGTTGGGTGGGGTGTGGGGCCGGGGTGTCTTAGCCTATTGCAAACGAGTTCTACCTGTTCAAGGTAAACCGCTGGCTTCGGCTCCCAAGTCCCTCTTCATTGCTCTAGACTGTGGTACTGGCGTGAGCCTTTTCTATTTCTCCTGCCTGCTGGCACAGGATGACACGGGTTAGCAGAGGACGCAGAAGGAAACCACTCCCGGGTTCTGGTGAGGCTTTCTCATTGGAAGTGGGTAGGTCCCGTGGCCTGTCCGGTGGCCCCTCCCTGGAAGCTGTTTCCCAGCTGTCCTCTGGTTTCCCCTCCGGCTTCCCAGCAAGTCTTCCTGGTGCTTCCTAGTGAGTTCAATGGCACCCCTGTGGGTGGCCGTCTAACCAGTTGTTTTTTTAAAATATATTTTATTGATTTTGTACAGAGAGGAAGGGAGAGAGAGAGATAGAAACATCAATGAGAGAGAGTCATCGATCAGCTGCCTCTTGCACACCCCCTACTGGGGATGTGCTCGCAACCAAGGTACATGCCCTTGACCGGAATCAAACCCGAGACCTTTCAATCCCCAAGCCAACGCTCTATCCATTGAGCCAAACCGCCTAACCAATTTTGTTGACACCCCTTCCTCTCCAGCCCCACACTCCAGTACCTCAGCAAGGAGTGGGTCACCCTCTCGGACAAAGTCTGAATGGGAGTCTCGCAAGGGAATCTCTTCCAAATTGGTTCCTCTTGGGATCCTCTGTCTAGAGGTGGTAGCTGCTCCTACAGCCACTATTCCTGTATTCGTAGGCATTCTCTACCCTTAGTTAATCCTCTGTTACTGATTAGTAATGTTTTAAAATATATTTTATTGTGTGTGTGTTTTTTTTTACAGAGAGGGAGAGAGAGGTAGAAACATCTATGAGAGAGAAACATCTATCAGCTGCCTCCTGCACGCCCCCTACTGGGGATGCGCCCACAATCCAGGTATACGCCCTTGACCGGAATGGAACCTGGGACCTTTCAGTTCACAGGCCGTCGCTCTATCCACTGAGCCAAACCGGTTTCAGCTGATTAGTAATTCTTTACATCCAAGTTTCCAGGTTCAAATTGCTGTTTTCTGTCTCCTGACTGGCTTCTGGCTGTTGCAGTGGATTAAGATACCAGTCACGCCGAAACCGGTTTGGCTCAGCGGTAGAGCGTCGGTCTGCGGACTGAAAGGTCCCGGGTTCGATTCCGGTCAAGGGCATGTACATTGGTTGCAGGCACATCCCCGGTTGGGGGTTTGCAAGAGGCAGCTGGTCAATGTATCTCTCTCATCGGCTCTCTATCTCTCTCCATTCCTCTCTGTAAAAAATTAGTAAAATATATTAAAAAAAAAAAAAAGATACCAGTCACATGGGTGCCCCTCCTGAGACTGGTTGGTAACCCCTGCTGTCATTTAGTATAAAGGGCTCAGCCAGATAGGTTGAGAATGCTGTAAGCAAATCAGACTGGCTCCTAGAATTTGGCCTGACAACTAAGTAAAAATTGCCCAGTCCTCAAAAGAATGGGCTCCCCTTGTACAGTTGA